AATATTATATAAATACTATTTTATCCTAGGATTACTATCTACTCTGTGCCTCCCTCTCTCAGAACCCTCACTCACTCTCACTCTCACTCTCACTCTCAATCTCTCTCATTCTCACTCTCATAGCTATCTCAGCCCTCAGCCTCCTTTCGAATGAGTCCTTTGCCTTCGTTAGAGTCTAAGTCCTCTCAGCCTCCTTCGTCTTTGCCTCTCTTTCTCAAAGTCTTAGCCCTCTCAGCCTCCTTCGTTTTCGCCTCTCTCTCTCTCAAAGTCACAGCCTTCTCTGAGCCTCCTTCGTCATCTTAGATTAGATCTCATCTCAGATCAAAAACTCAGATTTCATCTCAGAGCAGATCTACTATCTACGTCTATCCCTTCATCGACGTTATATCAGGTATGTAATTTTCATTTTTATTTTCAAATTTTCAGAGTTAATTTTTCTAGAGTTAATTTTGAGACCTCTTTTTCACTCTTAGATACAATTTTTTCAGAATTAATTTTCAGAGTTTATTTTCACTCTCAAATGCAATTTTCTACACCTCTTTTCCAACCTGTTATGACATTAAACTTTTTGTCCTCTTTTGATCCTTTTTTTTCACACTCAAACGATGCATTAAGAATTTCTTTGGAAGTATATCATTCTAAAATTATTTTTTTAGATTTTATTCAAGTCTAATATTTCACTTTTAGATGCACAAATTGATCATTTTTCTGTTCTTTGATTTTATGACACAATAAATCAATATATGTCACTAATGGAGGAGACAAAAACAAATGCTGAATCTTTGACTAATCTTACATCTGAGCCTGCTTTTGTTTGTGTTCTATTTATTTATGTTAAACTGGCTCTGTGCAAGGATTCTGGTTGTTCTAATGATGTCAGTTGTGCAAAGATTTTATTTAAGCAATGAACTCTATGTTTGTGTAAGAATTCTGGTTGTGTTTATTTGCGTTATGTATACTTGTGGCTGCATTATCTCAAACATTGAGTTCTTAATGTTATGGTTTTTATGTTAAAAGCTTGATTGAAGTTATTGGTTGTTAATTTAGCTTAATATTATGTAATATATGTATTAGGTTTAGAACAACAAGCTTATTTTGGGCTCAACTTTAACTCAACTCGAATTAAACCCGTAAAATAACTCAAAATCAGCCCAAAATCATTAATTCGAATTCAACTTGTGGTAGGGTTAGGGTTAGGATTATGATTGAAGATTATACACCTAGCGTTGGGCTAGCGTTGACTGTCAAATCCACCTGAGTTGCACCCCTAATGATCGGTGATATATTTCGAGTTATTTTAAAAAAGAATTAGTACAATTATTTTTTTGTGATTCCTTTTGAATTTGTGTAATTGTTTAAGATTTTTTTGTTTATTGTATAGTATTTTCAGACATGGGTAATAATTAGTACCTTTATAATACAAGTTTATTGTATAAAAAATATACGATAAATATACGATTAATATACATTTTTGAAATTAATACGGTGTCAAATTAATTTACCAAACAAAGTATTAGACCCGATTAAATAAAAAATAGTACAATCTAATATTTAATCCCCTCATAATACGTCTACCAAACCATATTATGTATAAATTAATTTCATATAAAAATACAATAATAAAATATGTATATATATAATTTTAAAAATAAAAATAAAAATTTTAAATTAAAAAACATATTTTTTCTATCTTAATTAGGCGTGAAAATTTTTGACTCAATACGATTACACGACTAGAAATTAATTCAAATTTTATGATACGAACTTAATCATAATTAACACGAATTTAAAAGTAACCTGACATACGAACAATAAATATAAAAGACTCATATTCAGTTCAACCAGTGAAATTCAAAATTGACACCATCAACCCGTTTATTTAAAAATAAATTATTTTTCTATTTTCTCGTTTGTAAGGTAACACAAAATTAACACGAAACTAACATGTTTAACTAATATTATAAACATATAAAATGTTAATTATTTGTAACTATTTATTAAACACTAACATATATATTATATAAAAAAGATATTTTTACTTATTATTATTATATTTATTTAAATTAATTTTTAGTTTGTACAAAAAATATTATCATGGATTCAATTAAGTGAAAATAGAATATTAGCGTTAAATTTTTTATTTAAAGTTTATGTGGGATCAACATGAATACGAATACGAATACGACACGAAAAATAAACAGGTCAACTTGCAACTCGACACGACATAATTAGTTAAATGAGTTAACTTAGGTTTGACTNTGGGTCTACACGAATACGAACACGAATACGACACGAAAAATAAACAGGTCAACTTGCAACTCGACACGACATAATTAGTTAAATGAGTTAAATTAGGTTTGACTAATACTCGACACAAACCCGTAATGACTCAATACGAATCTGACACGACACGATTCGATTGTCACCTCTAATCTTAGCCAGCACAAAAAAAAAAAAAATTTGTCATTTTTATTTTTCATTCGTCCAACCAAACACAAAGAAAGGAAAATGTATCATTTCTATTTTCCTTCTTATCAAACAAAGCATAAAGTTGGAATTTATTCTTTTATCATTATTAACAAATTTGCATTACATTCATGTTCCCCACACCGAAAAAACAACTGTAAGTACTAAATTTTGTTCTAGTGTGTCAGTTTTAGATCATCTATTATATATTAATGGAGGGTCATTTGAACAAAATGGATTTTACTTAGATCAATAATTCCTAATACTTTTTTGAATATCATTTAAATACACGATGAAAATCGAAGATTGTATCATATGAATACACAATATTAATAAATGACAGAAATTGAAATTTCTATTACGATGAGTGATCTCGAAGGAAGAAAATCTAAAATTAAAGTTGTCAATAAATCATATCGTGTATAAGTTATGTGGGGTCAAAAATTACCGAATACATAGTCAATTAATTTACAATTTGTATACAAAGATTTGTATTGTGTATAAATCATGATTTGTACGGCGCATAGCCGACGAACTAATTTTTAAATAAACACAATTATAATTTTGAGGGCACTAGTTTTGATAAAAAAAAAAACATGATGACAGTGTTAACATGCACTAAATGTTCGTGGAAAAAAAAGACAGGTGTGTCAAATGCTTAAACTGGANAAAAAAAAACATGATGACAGTGTTAACATGCACTAAATGTTCGTGGAAAAAAAAGACAGGTGTGTCAAATGCTTAAACTGGAGATACAATGAGTCTACCCATACGTCATTTGACTCTATTAAGGTTAATCCAAATTCATTAATTCTATATTAACTTCCTATCAAATTCACGAAACATATAATTTCATAATGAAGAATGCTATTGTAAGCAGTTCTATTCTCTTTTTACAGAAGAATTACCTCTTGTCCCATGTCGAGAGAGAGTCGTCTCTCCTATTGTCATATAAATAACCACTTACTTATATGACAGGGGGAAGACGACTCTCTCCCAATGTGAAATGAGAGGTAAAGACTATTGAGTGATCACTTAAGTCAGTCAGAATCCTTTCGTAGAAGAGAATAAAATCCCTTACAGCTATAATTTTGAAAAAACCTTTACTNTCTCTCCCAATGTGAAATGAGAGGTAAAGATTATTGAGTGATCACTTAAGTCAGTCAGAATCCTTTCGTAGAAGAGAATAAAATCCCTTACAGCTATAATTTTGAAAAAACCTTTACTATTGTACCGTCATATACATTATTTAAGACTTTTTATTTAGCCTTTTGAGATCATATATGACGTGTGAGATTTTTTTCATTCCATCGTAGATAATTATAATTGATCTTAATATTTTAAGATAAATCCTAAAATTGTTAAAATTAATCAGNCTATTGTACCGTCATATACATTATTTAAGACTTTTTATTTAGCCTTTTGAGATCATACATGACGTGTGAGATTTTTTTCAATCCATCGTAGATAATTATAATTGATCTTAATATTTTAAGATAAATCCTAAAATTGTTAAAATTAATCACAAATCTCAAAAAAATTTTAACTTGAGCGATTATTCCAAAATTTATAATTTTTATTTAATATTTTAAAATAAATTTTAATTTTTTTCACTTATAATTAGACCCCATAAAAATTATAAACTTCCGTACTATATTCGGTAGCGAAGACAAATCCAAAAACAGTAAGGAAGATCCGAGTCCAGGGGATTTGAGTTCATTTAGAATTGGAGCGCGTCACGGAGGGAATATACCTGTGTGAAGATAAATAGATGCCTCCATTCAAAGAAACCAGATGTTGCCACGTGTCTCACGAGCTGGCAACCAATCGAGCCAACGAGCTATGGCTCTCCTCCCCCTCTTCCTCCTCCTGCTTCATCACCTGTATCTTCGTCTCTGAAAGTTCTCTCTCTCCCTCCCTCCCTCCACTTCTACAAATATATCCACGCCTATACATATGTTTATAATTTATCTACATTGATCTCAAAATTGGAGTTGCGGGCCACTAACGAAGGACGAAAATTTCAAAAAGGTGGAGACAAAGAAGATTAGTGTTCTTTGATTAGGGCTTCGTGATTTGGGTTTCTGTTTTTCATGGAGTTTGTGCCAGTCAGAATCGCCATTGAAGGTACTGTTTCCTGTTTCTCCGGTTACACATATATTCGGTATACATGATTCCTATTAAATTGCGAATGTTTATCAGAGAATTAGGGTTTTTTCGTGGTATTTTGATGGTGATTTGGAAAAATCTGAGCTGAATTATTGTCATGGTGTCAGGATTCGTTGATTTTGGTGTTTTATTTTGATTCTTAATCGAAAATCCCAGATTTTTAATAGTTATTTGCCTGTGAATTGGGGATTTTGAGCTGAATTTTGGCGTATAATTTGGTTCAAATATAGTTGAATTTTTTTTATTGGGTTTATTAACTGATATATCATTTGCTATGTGTGTTATCAGGGATTTGATGATTTGTGCTAGAAACTCTACGATTTTTGGCAGTACTTGTCAACTTTTGGCTAGAAATCAATTACTCTCTGACAGTGAAACTATAAGTATTGCTTTTTGCGTAGTGGGTTTGGTATGAAGGAAATTGGAAGCAATTGGATAAGAGTAGTAATCCATGTGTAATAAAGGAATTGAATGCCTAAAAAGGGAATCATCATTTCTGCTCGAGGTCACCCAAATTGGTAATCAGCAGGAGGAGCATCAAGCTGTCTACTTGATGGACAGCCCTACATTGACCCCAGGCTCAATCCCGAGTTCTAATGATGAAAGCCCACGTGTTAAGTTTTTATGTAGTTTTTCAGGTAGTATATTGCCGCGACCACAAGATGGGAAGCTGAGGTACGTGGGTGGTGAGACGCGGATTGTGAGTGTTCCACGCGATATTACTTATGAGGAGTTGATGGGGAAGATGAGGGAGCTCTTTGAAGGGGTCATAATGTTGAAGTATCAGCAGCCTGACGAGGACCTTGATGCTCTTGTGTCAGTTGTGAATGACGATGATGTGACAAACATGATGGAGGAGTATGATAAGTTAGGTTCTGGTGATGGGTTCACTAGACTAAGGATTTTTCTTTTCTCGCCTCTTGATCAAGATGGATCTGTGAATTTTGTTGATGGGGATGAAAGGGACAATGAGAGGAGGTACGTGGATGCTTTGAACAGCCTTAATGAATCCCCAGACTTTAGGAAGCAGCAGCTTACTGAGTCCCTGATAACTAGTCCAGTGGATGATATCCTTGCTGCAGAACAATATTTTAATCAGATGAGTCTTGAGGGTGGCCTCCATAATCAGAGAAACTTTGAGATGCCTATGCCACAAATTAATTTGCGTCACCTCACAATTCCTCATATGGGTTCAGGACAGCTCCAACATTCTATTCCCCAGAGGTATAATGAAATGGAGAGTCCATGGAGTCCTGCGTACTACTCCCCTAGGCAACCCGGACACCATGATCCAAGGCCAGTGGCGGAGGTGCCAACTTCACCTTCTTCTGCTCGTCACCGTACCCCATACGGGGAGTTTTCTGACCGAAGTTTTGATAGAATGTCAGAGGAATACAGTCGACAGCAAGGGATTCATCAATCCCCATATGACCACCAGCCACAGTTTATGGACAATGTCGTATTGTTCCCAGGTGGACCTGCATCTGGCGATATGGCAGGTTTTCCAGGTAACATACGTCATGGCCCCAATGTTTTTGACGGAAACAGTATCTGCGAGCACTGCCGAATGACTTTCCAAAGGAATCAACCTTATCCCGATTCCCCTTGGAAGCTCGGAGAACAACCACATCTGGAGCCACCCAACTTGGGGAATGGATTTCATCCGGTTGCTAACTCATGTGCTGAATGTCATCCAAATAGGGAAAGTTTCATGTTGACAGACACAAACATGCACCATCCATTCTACCCTAGGGAGCAGAGTGATCCTCGATGCCTCTATAATGAAAATCACAATCAGGAAAGAGGTTGGATTCTACCACATCAGATGAATACTCGGCCTGAGGAACCAAGATCACATGTTGCTGGAGCTGGAAGGTTAACTGATCACTACACTCTGGATAGTAACGGTTTGAATATTCCTCTTGTGCGTGGTAATCTATTAGATGGTTATCATGTGCCCTCACATTTTGTCCATCATGATGACCCACGGTACATCCAAGCTGGGCCTGAATTAGGGAATCAAGTGTTTCATGACCAAGCTGTGGGCATTGGGTCTCACATCCACACTCCTCCTCAGGAAGATCGAGGAGTTCGGTATGGCAATTTGCCTTATGCTCATGGAGTGGATAACCTTTACCAAGTGTCACATGGACATTTACCTGCACATGCTTTGGTGAGAAATGCTCATGACCCTGTGCATGGGGCTCCCACTTATGATGCATCTGGTTTACCTCAGCTAGCAAATGTTTCGGTCAGTCCAGGGTTCATCAGGGGTCCACTGGAGGGTAGTCCCAGGTTGCAGGTTGGGGCAGAAAATCAGAACTTATGGGTTGAGTCCTCACAGAAAATAATGGGGTTTGATGGGTCTGCTGCTCCAGAACATTCTCATTGCCATGCCTTAATACCGACGCCAAACACTTATAGTCAGGAGAATCAGCAGTTGGTTAGTCCAGATCACATCGAATCCTCTCCAGACATGTTAAACCTTACTGATTTTACAGATGCTGCACTGCAGGCTGATTCAGCACCAGTGTTGGCTGACAGTAAGTTGGTCTCTTTTACTGCTTCTGGTCCAGAATCAAGAAGTGATGCTAACGTTACTGAATTAGTCAGGATGGAGGAGCAAAGTGTTCATGGAGGTGCAAAAGAAACAAATCATGAAGAGAAGGTTGAAGAGTCTAATATACAGAGTGTCCCTGGTACAGAACTACACAAGAATGCTGTTGATGTGGCATCTCCCGAGACTATGTATTCCAATGGCTTGGGTCCTGCTGGTGAGAGCAGTGTTGCTATGAAACCAGAAGAAAATAATACTTGTACACATCTTGAAAAGAAAGTGCTATCAGATGACGATTTGAATTATTTACCAGAGATGATTGCATCTATAAAGAAGGCGGCATTAGATAGTGTTGAGGGGGGGAAAGTTAAAGTCCAAGAAAATAATGATACCGTTGTTGAGCATGGTGAAGCCACAAAAGAAGAACCTCGTAATGAATCTGAAGCAGTGGTGAGAATTTATTGCATTTCCGTATCTTAAGAGTGCACCACAGTCGATTAAACTTCTTTCTAACAACCCTTCTTGATTTCAGTATACACATGGGGAGTTGGAGTTGGATTCTGATAATGAAAATGTTGACAGTACAAAGATTGAGCCAACAAAGGCTGAGGCAGAAGCTATTGATAGGGGATTGCAGGTTCCTGTTTACCATCTAATTCATACAGCTAGTGTGTTTATTTGAGTCTCCCCCCTTCCTCCCTGGACCTTCTTGGATATGTATCTTAATGCACTACCATTTACTGGTATGGTCCATTTTTTTTTTGTAGACAATTAAGAATGAGGATCTGGAGGAGATCCGAGAACTAGGCTCTGGCACATATGGAGCTGTTTATCATGGGAAGTGGAAGGGGTCAGATGTGGCAGTAAAGAGAATCAAAGCTAGCTGCTTTGCTGGGAGGCCATCTGAAAGAGAACGCTTGGTATGTTTTGTGTCATTACGCTTACTCTTTCCCTTCTTTTTTTTTCTCGAACATAGTCCCTTGTGTCATGGAACTCTTTCTCTCTATGCTCGATTTCTCAATGGTGGTGTTGTATTTGATTATATTATCGAGTTACACACATATATATCAGGAAAAAGAGAAGTTCTATTTCAACATAGAAATATAGAGAGGTATCTCATACAACACCAGCGGTACATGAGATTTACTTAACATGCTCTAATAGGGATGAATACTAGTGACTTATGGTGCCCAAGTGGTTGAAAGGGCTACAGAAACTGTGAAAGTAGGGAAAAATCAGTGTGACTTAACCAAAAAATGAATGCTTTGACAAAACCTGTGTTTCACTAGTTGAATTTGCCGCATATAAGTATCTTCCTTTCTACTTTGATCTGACATCCACTTCATTTGCTTGGGTTTATAGATTGCAGATTTCTGGAAGGAGGCATTAATATTAAGTTCATTGCACCATCCAAATGTTGTTTCTTTCTACGGTGTAGTTCGTGATGGCCCTGATGGATCTCTAGCAACTGTGACAGAATTCATGATTAATGGTTCCTTGAAACAATATCTAAAGAAAAAGGACAGGTGCTGCTTATTATTGTTGTTGTTCTGATAATGTGAATATTATAAATGTTGAAAGTACTCGTTGCTTGCTCAAGTGTATATGAATCATTTATACACGTGACCATATGTGACATAGTTATTTAATGGAACAGAACAATTGATCGTCGTAAGAGACTCCTCATAGCTATGGATGCTGCATTTGGAATGGAGTATTTACATGGAAAGAATATTGTGCATTTTGATCTAAAATGTGAAAATCTACTAGTAAACATGAGAGATCCACATCGGCCAGTGTGCAAGGTATGTTGAAGTAACGATTGAATAAATGGTGTTTTACTTATTTTTTGAGCTCATGTAGCACCTGTTTACCAACTTGATATAACTGTTGGATAGTTTGCAGTAGTGTTGAAAGAACTTCATCTCTTAATGGTGCTGCTAGTGCTTGACTTGTTACATTTGAATTGATCCTGTCATGAGCTTTCTTTTAGTGTCTGATGTTGTAGTTGGACTTTTAGCTCATGCAACGCCTGCATTCCCTTTCAGATTGGTGACCTTGGCTTATCGAAGGTAAAACAACACACTTTGGTATCAGGAGGTGTTCGTGGAACTTTACCCTGGATGGCACCGGAGCTGCTTAGTGGAAAAAGTAACATGGTAACAGAAAAGGTATTATTTGTCTTAGCTTAAATTATCAAGTTTCTAAGCTCCCAAGGTTTATATGATTCCCCATTTCAAAGGTTTTAAAATTTTCTATTGTTCTTTGTGTTTATTCATTTCTCCTTGCACTGTAGATTGATGTTTACTCATTTGGGATTGTTATGTGGGAACTGCTCACCGGTGATGAACCTTATGCGGATATGCACTGTGCTTCCATAATAGGTATTTTATTGTTAAAAAACTGCATCTTTCCGTTACAATGTAGCTTTCCTTTAACAGTATCATGGGAAGGATAATTCTCTGCATGTAATTCTAGTTACCTGAGAAAAAAATATCTGTATTGCTGTCACAGGATAGCTTAGCATCACCTGTTGTGGATGTATTTGCATTTCATAAATGTGCATGTGCCATATTACTCATGGATGGGGCCTCACATTTACTATTGGTTTTTATATAGGCTAGGATTTTTATGTTTCATTGTATAGGGGGCAGCTCTTAAGGTGAGTGCTTGGCAAAGGTGTCTGATTTCTTGGCCTAGGTTACCTTTGTGTGTCTATTGCTAATGTATGTTGAAGAGTTGGAAATCCGTTTGTAGGAAGTTTTAACCTTTGTCTGCATACACACTTCCCACATATAACTTTCAGATGGTTTCATCCCCCATTTTTCTCCCTTGTTGTTTCAAGCTACCGGAAAAGGTGGATTTGAGTTGTTTTTGGTCTCAGTAAGGGTTAATTTTTGTTTGACGCATAATGCCTTTTCCTTATTTTCCTGGTTGTATCGAGATTGGTGACAAAACATTAATCAAAAAAACAAGGGTTAATTTTGGTTTGATGCGCAAGGCGTTTTCTGTATTTGCCATTTCGTAACGAGATTGGTGACAGAGTGTTAACCAAAAAAAAAGTGGCATTGATGAGGGAGCATACTTGGTCTAAGGTCCATAATATGTATTGTGAGGTAGTGGTGGTGGGTCTCATGAAAATTTTATTTCCTATGTAGTCTGTAGATGAGTAGGATTACCAACTATGTTGGTAGAATCTACCTTTGAGTGATTTTAGTTAAACTTTCCTTTTCAATGGTGATGTATATGCGTGCCGGTAAACTTTTATGAGTGTTGGTGAATCTAATGAGATTTTATTTTGAGCCTCTTTGATCACTAGTAACCCTAAAATGACCAACCCTCACCCCTTGCAGCTGCTCTAGCTTGCTCTAGAAAAGAAGTGACAAAATTCGAAGATTTTGGAGTATCTGTTCTGAGCCAATATTAATAAGATTCATTTTTTAAGGGTTCAACAATGTTATCCGAATCGGACCAGTCATTGAACTGACAGGGGGATCGGGTTAATGGTTCTGGTCTATGAAGCACAGACGTTCTCGAGAATGTGGCGTACTCGTGTTGGACACAGACACTCTTCGGATACTCTCGGACGCGTGTTCGATACTCTTTTATCCATGTCCATAATTAAATTATAAATTTTTAATTTCAAACACGTGTCGGACACTTCTTTGGTGATGTGTTGACACTTCCTTAAAACATGTCTACAATTAAACAATAGACATTTGTTGAAATGTAATTAACAAAGTTTAAAAATTTGAGAACATATAATTACTAATACTAGACATATTAAAGTTGTATTCCAAATATAATAATGAAAACAAAAGATGCATAAAAGTTTTAAAACAGAAAAATTGAGAAAATGAGAGCAATTATTTAAATTATATATTAGGTACACATTGTCTATAAAAAAGAAAATTGATTATTATTGACTATAATGAGGATTTTTTAGTCTAAAAATTCACACAAATGATTAAACATTAGGTTTTCTTATCATAAAATCCTGATTTTTTATGAATTGTATATCATTATTACTATATTTGCATTAAATTAAATGTTATATATAATATATATTTTTTTTTGTAGCGTGTCTCCAACGTGTCCCCGTCCTTCTTTTTTGAAAAATGTTGTATCGGTGTGCATATCGTGTCGTGTCGTATCCGTGTCCATGCTTCTTAGGTTCTGGTTCAACCGTTTGATTAACTGGTTAGATCGATCATATAATAAAAAAATAAAAAAAATTATAAATACTATAATATATCAATTGAGCTNCACTCTTCGGATACTCTCGGACGCGTGTTCGATACTCTTTTATCCATGTCCATAATTAAATTATAAATTTTTAATTTCAAACACGTGTCGGACACTTCTTTGGTGATGTGTTGACACTTCCTTAAAACATGTCTACAATTAAACAATAGACATTTGTTGAAATGTAATTAACAAAGTTTAAAAATTTGAGAACATATAATTACTAATACTAGACATATTAAAGTTGTATTCCAAATATAATAATGAAAACAAAAGATGCATAAAAGTTTTAAAACAGAAAAATTGAGAAAATGAGAGCAATTATTTAAATTATATATTAGGTACACATTGTCTATAAAAAAGAAAATTGATTATTATTGACTATAATGAGGATTTTTTAGTCTAAAAATTCACACAAATGATTAAACATTAGGTTTTCTTATCATAAAATCCTGATTTTTTATGAATTGTATATCATTATTACTATATTTGCATTAAATTAAATGTTATATATAATATATATATTTTTTTGTAGCGTGTCTCCAACGTGTCCCCGTCCTTCTTTTTTGAAAAATGTTGTATCGGTGTGTCCATATCGTGTCGTGTCGTATCCGTGTCTATGCTTCTTAGGTTCTGGTTCAACCGTTGGATTAACTGGTTAGATCGATCATATAATAAAAAAATAACAAAAATTATAAATACTATAATATATCAATTGAGCTAAAAAAAAAAAATGAACTATGTCCACAATGTATACAATTTGCTATAAAAATAATGAAATTAAGAGAAAAAACAAAACATTTACGCCAAATATCAAAATTAAATAAGCAAATAAGCTCAGGCAACACACATCTCATATTAGTTTATTCCAATCCAAGGGAGCATATATTAGTTGGGTAAGCATAAAAATTTAAAATAATCCAATAATTTTCCAACACATAGCTTAAATAAACAGATCTGAGTAGGACCAATGCATTAGCTGTTATTTCAGCCACAAGATGCTGATTAGTTTCTCCTCGAGCATGAACCACACATTGTTGCAACACAAAATACCAACTTTTGTCCGTTGCAATATCAAGACAGTTATCAACTACAACATTCAGAATATGATGTGAAAAGGGGGAGAAGAAGAGGGGCTTACCGTTCAAGAAGCAAAGAGAAACCAAAGGGCATGGACCAGAGGAGAGGAGATTGCCTGTTCGTCGCCTGGAGGAACGACTAGAATTGATTTAGATTAGGGGCAAAATTGCCCTAAAAAAGAGGGATATTTTTCAATATTCCACTTTCTGGTTTGCATCAAACCTCCCGGTTCACCGGTTTCCATAAAAACCGTTTGGTTTAATGATTTGAAGATTGTTCCCATGCATATGCGGTCTAACTCATGAACCGGACTAGTCTAGGCCTTGGTTCACAGTTTGACTGGTCCGGTCTGGTTCTGATAACACAGTGGTTTAGACTCAAACTTGGGAGTGAGGAACATAGCTCTAGATGAGATTCAGACCCTGCACCACTTGATTGGTGGCATGGATCCTCGGTCACTAGTTCATCCCTTACCTTGGGAAAACACGGATTTTACTTTCCATGGCTGAGCCCTAATATGCTACGCCAAAGCCTGATGCCAAGTATTATAGATTCTGCAATTCATGATGTATCACAGATATGACTGCATCATAGCCTTGTTAAATATTTTGAGAATATATTTAATGGGTGATTTAAAGTGGTTGATGTGGGAAGGTTTGAAGAAAGGTTTAACGTGGCATCTTATGGTGGTCAGGCTGCTTGTTTCTGTTGTTAATGAAGTTTGAGAATTTTAAGATTCTTGCTAAATCTGTTCTTCCTCATGCTTGCATGTATCTGGTGTGACACTAAGATTCTTTTGACTCCTGCTGAATCAGACTAAGATTTTTCTCAATGGACTAATCAAATCCTGCTGAATTAGTATTATATCAACGATACTGCCATTTAAAGAGTTGGTTGCTACAAAATTTCACAACCATGTTCAGTATGACTTTTGGAAAGCCGTAAATAGTTAATATAAAAGTAGATCCTTTTATGCTCATTTGTCTTGCTTAGCAGGTAATTCTTTTTTAGGGTTCCCTACATTTGACTGGCAAACTTGTTCCGCCACAGACACTCATTTCAGTTGGCAAGGTTGTAGTTTTTATATAAATTATGGGGTAAAAGTGAAAAGTCAAGCTTTGAGATTATGGATTATGGTTTTATTCAAGTACCATCTCGTCTGAATTCAAATAGTCAACGTCCTTATAGGGAAACTTGAACTGCTATCAGTTTCTTCTTCATTGGTATTCTCTTTGCTGGCCAATATAATTTCTTGGACTCTTCTTCATTACTTCCCTTTTATTTGAAAGTAGGTTTCTGAATGACAGAAGTATCTGGTTATAAATGATGTGTGTCTACTTGTATGTTATTCCTTATATATGCAAGTATTTTCTAAATCATAATAATTTATGCTTAAAAGGGTTCTTGTGAAATCTTCTCGCTCATGTAGTCGAGGGTATCTTTTTTGGCAAGCTTCTTGGCATAGGTTTTTGGGCTCCCAAAGTGTACTCATGATGTCTGTCGCAAAGAATTCTCTCTTTTTCTGGTAAAAATATCGGAATATTGGGGCTATGGAATCAGTGCATTGTGTTTTTTAGACATTGGCGAGTGAGTGGATTGGTACTTGCATATCCTTCTTTGAATGGTTCTGCTGATAATTTGTACCCTGGGATGAAGGCTTCAACTCAATCCCATGAATTCATTTGCCTGTGCAGGATGGTTTTTTTTTTTTCTCCATAGTGTGTGCCTTTGGTGACTTGAAATTGCATGGAAGAAGAGTAGAAGTTTGTCTGCTGGTACAAAAACTTAGTTGATATGAGGTGTTTCCAAATGCATGTAAAGATTTGAGAGATGCTTTTTATTTGATCTTGACTATTACATTCACATGGCATACACACCATACATGTGTGAAGCTCTCTCGTTGTCTCAAGATATAAAGCTCAGACTGTTTTTCATCTTTCTCTGACATATTGCCAGGGCCATACATACGTCTGTCTATACTCCACAGGATTAAAGTTATTGTTCTCCCTCCCCACTTTCTTCCAATTCCAAACCAACGGCGGAAAGAAACTGCGATATGAAAAATGCCAGTTGCTCTGCTGTAATATTCTTGTTTCCTCTTCATAAATTTTTCTTTTCTGATATGCAGGAGGAATTGTGAACAACACATTACGTCCACAAATTCCAACATGGTGCGACCCCGAATGGAAATCTTTGATGGCAAGTTGTTGGGCCTCTGACCCGGCACAGAGGCCATCATTCTCAGAAATCTCTCAAAAGTTGAGAAATATGGCTGCAGCAATGAATTTGAAATGATGCCAGTGATGCAGTCATTTTCTCTCCTTCCTTGAGTGTCATTTGCAGAGTATATAGTGAAAAATGAAAATAAAAGGAAGCACAGGTTTTGTGGTTTGGGTCATCTACTGGTTCCCAAGTTTGCTCAGGCTGATAATGCTTTATCATAACCTTGTTCATCTTCTATCAACCTTTGTAATATTTCCATGAATAGATATTGTATTAGTGGAGTGCAATCCGAACTCGGAAATACCAAAGAAGATTACATTATTCCCTGAGGAGAACCATGCTTGTGCTATCAGAATGTAAGTTCCTTTTATGTTTTGCATATTGTGGAATAAACACCTCCCCCCCTTCATTTCTTTTTTTTCCTTCTCATTTTTTCTTTTTTTTTTTTTGCTTTTTTTGTCGTTTTTCTGAGGATTGTTCTTGTTGATATGAACGGATTTCAGCTTCCATTTGCAGGTTGGAAAATATTTTGGGGCTCATTAGGATGGTGGTGCAGTTCTTCCTGGTATGGGTGCTTTTTTTATTCTCCGTTCATTGGGGTGGAACTGGGCTGCTATGAAAGGATGTGTACATAAATGATCTGCTCTTGAAACAATGATACAATTATGCTATAGAGGATTTCTCATGGAACGTATATTGATTATTTCTTTTTTCCCATTACTTATCTTATAATTTCCCCGAACCACAGGGCNAATGAACCTGAAGTAATAATTAAACAAAAAAAATAAAATAAAATTCTGAAGTACACTTCATATGTTCCTTTTTCTTCAAGAACGCCATATAACAAGGATCGATCTTTTAAGTTGGTATCCATTCTAGATTTTTAAGATCAGTTCTATCACTTTTTAGGATTGATTTTATAATTTTGAATCAGAGTTGTAATTTTTATCTGTTTGAATTGTAATTTAACAACAAATAAAAGGGTAATGAAAGCTTGGACGTTAGAGAACGCTACCTTTCTTTTCTCGTGTGCCATGAATTTGAGTATCGGAAACATTTTTTTCGTATGCAAGAGTAAGACTCTCTATATCGACTCTTCTCAAATTTTATAATGGTTTAGGGCTTTGTAGTTGTAAACATGAAATGCTTGNAATGAACCTGAAGTAATAATTAAACAAAAAAAATAAAATAAAATTCTGAAGTACACTCAAATTTTATAATGGTTTAGGGCTTTGTAGTTGTAAACATGAAATGCTTCAGAGCTCAGATCAACAACTGATTCAAATACAAATTTTATGATGTCTCACCTTGACTATTTTTGGAAACGGAGAAATCTCGTGGCTCGTCTTCAGTGAGTATAGACGTGTTTCTATCGCTCAAATTCTTAACTTTGAGTAGAATCAAAAGCAAAGTTTGGAGTATAAACTGATCATTTAACTTATATACCATTTAAATCAGGATTTACGTTTCATAAGGGATTCAAGACCCATATCAAAAATTTAGATACAATTTGTCTAAGCAATTGAAATCTTATTTTACTAAATAGCTACGTTGTTGTGTCCAGGGAACNAAGACCCACATCAAAAATTTGGATACAATTCGTCTAAGCAATTGAAATCTTGTCTTACTAAATAGCTACGTTGTTGTGTCCGGGGAATTATAAATCCCTGATCTCGCACAGGGAATTCAAATACAAATTTTACGATGTCCCACCTTTACCTACTCTACTCTATTGTGATTATTTAATGTAGTACTTTTTCAAACGCCTGGTTGACTTTATTCGCTCACTCCACATGAAATGCCATTGATCTCACATAATCTGTTTAGCTTTGCTAATAATTGAAATGGTGCAGTGGGCAAAGACATCACCAACTGTGATGAAAAAATCTCCGGTCAGAATCCATGACACCATCACTAAACCCTCCAGAAACAGTTCAACTTTTGATACCTAACACACGGAATACGTCTAATCAATTAAAGTCAAACTGCTCACGCGCCCTTTGACCTCCTCACACGTGCCAGGTGGGTCATTNATAATCTGTTTAGCTTTGCTAATAATTGAAATGGTGCAGTGGGCAAAGACATCACCAACTGTGATGAAAAAATCTCCGGTCAGAATCCATGACACCATCACTAAACCCTCCAGAAACAGTTCAACTTTTGATACCTAACACACGGAATACGTCTAATCAACTCAAGTCAAACTGCTCACGCGCCCTTTGACCTCCTCACACGTGCCAGGTGGGTCATTGGAGGAATCATTCTTTGCATTGGCCATTTTGTGCGTACGTAAACTACTACATAAAACTCAAATCCAAAGGGTAAGTACCATTGGAAGACTTCACGGATCAAAAAATCAACTGATCATACTCTGATTTATCCCAGTGTGTTTTGTGTGATTGTGTGCACATTTAAAATTTGCATTATAACCATGTTTATTTTAGTCTCGTGCTTGAAAGGATTCTTTGTTACTCAACAAAGAATTAATTACACTTTGTGCCCCTCTGTTCTCAANATCGTGCTTGAAAGGTTCTTTGTTACTCAACAAAGAATTAATTACACTTTGTGCCCCTCTATTCTCAAAAAAAAGAAAAAAGGATTCTGATCTCATTTCACTCCTCATGTTATTGAGTTTCTTATATTCTTCTTTTAATTACTTGAATTTGTTTCATTCTACCTCAAAACCAAACCTCCATTATGTTTAGGCTAAAGTTTTTCACAGCTGAAAAAATTTTGGAACAAACAAAAATAGATTTATAGTTTCCAAGATCAATTGACATAAGAATTCTCATCCAATTAATTTGTAACAGATATTTGCAATTTGGGCAACCCAAAACCACTCATCGTAATTTGAGTATAATATAAAAAAATTGACAATTGGGGGAGAGGGGGGGGGGGAGATGTGAGATACAAGACTTAATTGACGAGGTCAACAATGTTACGTGGACTTAAAATACTAACTTGATCGATCATTATCATTGATTTAACTGTGAGTCACAGTATTTATTGGAATCTATTACTTATTCGATAATTGTGTTTGATCAAGTCCGAATTTTAAGTTCAAGTAGCATTTTTCATTAAAAATTTCTACTTACCAATAGAAGTATAGAAATAAACAAATGCATATCTACATTGCCAAAGAGATTAGAGCCAAATACATTTTTTGGATGCCAAAGGTTATGGGTTTGTTAAAAGGAGGGGTTGACAATCGAAAGATAACTTGAGGTTTGAGGGATTAGGACTCACTGAGCTCAGCAACAGCGTCTGTTTGTAGCGTCTCTGTGGGTTGATACACAAAAAGTGCATTGCGGACAATAACAGCTTCATTAATATTTTGTCGAAGGAAACACAGAAGTCATAAGGGTCTCTTTCAAGGAATATATAAGTCTACTGTTGGCATCTTTGTCAACCTAAATGACGAGGGGATACCTTTTTTTTTTTAAAAGCTTGTTGTTGGCCTCAAATAATTCAGAAATCAACATAATCTTTTCTTTTTTTTTTTTTTTTTGCGTTTCTTCTATGTTATTTTCTCCATAAATGTATCGAAAGTTACAAACTAATCAGTTTAAGTTAATGACTTAAAATTCAGATAAACCAATTTACGATTCAATTGGGTCACTTTAGGATCGATTCTAGAAAACTTAGGATCAATTTTGTTCTTGTTGTATAGATAGAGATATTTGGATGCCTCCACTCTTTTTTTATGGTAATAAAAATATAAGTAGTTAAAATATAAATTATAAGATTAAACGATGGATCCTAACTTTAAATGCCAATAATAAGTGAAATGTGCTAGGTAATTCAGCCAAGATAAAATGTATGGAAGACAGGTGTTGACTGTTGAGGCAATTGTGATTGATTTGGCCTAGAATAGCAACAAAAAATTTTCCTACTTCCCAAATGATTCTATCGGGTAAGAGCATTGTTATTGAGATTTAATTTATAGAGATAATTTAATGATCTAATTCATCGTGACATTTGAATTCATTGTAGACCCTATTAAACATTGGAATTTGGTGTTGATCAAATAATTTTTATAAAATTACATCATTATATCAACAAATTAGATCAAATTTTTAGGTACAAATAGAATTACTCATCTGATAAATGGATTTGTTTACTGTTGTCTGACGTTCAAGCTATAGGAAACTTAACATCTACTTATAATCAAATGTGATCTACTTTTTGAACGTGACATTTTCTTTTTCTTTTTGTTCATTTGGTTATCTATTGATTTTGGAGTGTGGTGCTAAAGCAGTAAGATTAGGAAATCCTCCCTTGAAGTAGTGCCTTAGGTGTGGTTTGATAAAATTTAGGGAGAGCTTATTTTCGCTTCTTAAATCTCTTTTTTCATCTTATTTAATTCTCTTACTTTCAATTATTAAGTTCATTATATTTATACCAACCTCATTAGTTACTAAACTCATCCAATTTATATTCACTAATTAAAAATTAAAATCATTCAATGTTATTTTAGCTTCTTATATAGGTAATGATCAAATTTTATTTTTGTGTATTATTTTGATACGAAAATATTTTAGAAGTAGAATAAATTAATAATTAATTTTAAAATATTAGTCAAAATATACAAAAATATCTTAAAACATCTCAAAATATTCCACAAACATTGGTGAAAATATATCCAAATATCTCAAAACACTTCAAAATAATATAGACCACATCGGAATATTAGAATTTTACTTTAATTACTATTTTTGTTTTGATTTTTATGATATATATATTTAATAGTTTAAATGCATAGATATAAATGAGGTGAGTTTAGTAACTAATATGGTGTGTACAAATACTTTAAAATAAGAGAATTAAATAGAATCAAAATAGCCCCGACCTAAAATTTAAAGTAAAGCATCGAAATCGAATACAAAATCTAAAGAGTTGAAACACTAAAATTTTTAATTTGAAAACTGGTTGGTATATAATATAATTTTAAGATCTTAATTAGATCAAACTATTTAATTATATAAGAAACTGCAATCTAAAAATTACTATTTTTGTAATTTTGGCCTTCCCTTCCACCATTACACTGCCAGGATCAAAACCACCATTACTGCCACCACAACGTTGGCACCACTGCCATCAACAACCATACAACCATCTTCGCCACCATTATCCTCACACCCCCACTACCCCCCACCATTGCTAGAATCTCCGTGACCCTCCAACCATCACCGTCTCACCATCAGCCCACTCTCACCATTGTCTCTACCACTACCACTTCATGTCCCACCTCTGCCNTTTCTGTTATTTTATTTATATTGCTTCCATTGATTTACACTTGTGGGAAAGCCTATTTTCCCAACACAAAATAATCTAGACCACATCGGAATATTAGAATTTTACTTTAATTACTATTTTTGTTTTGATTTTTATGATATATATATTTAATAGTTTAAATGCATAGATATAAATGAGGTGAGTTTAGTAACTAATATGGTGTGTACAAATACTTTAAAATAAGAGAATTAAATAGAATCAAAATAGCCCCGACCTAAAATTTAAAGTAAAGCATCGAAATCGAATACAAAATCTAAAGAGTTGAAACACTAAAATTTTTAATTTGAAAACTGGTTGGTATATAATATAATTTTAAGATCTTAATTAGATCAAACTATTTAATTATATAAGAAACTGCAATCTAAAAATTACTATTTTTGTAATTTTGGCCTTCCCTTCCACCATTACACTGCCAGGATCAAAACCATTACTGCCACCACAACGTTGGCACCACTGCCATCAACAACCATACAACCATCTTCGCCACCACTATCCTCACACCCCCACTACCCCCCACCATTGCTAGAATCTCTGTGACCCTCCAACCATCACCGTCTCACCATTGTCTCTACCACCCCCACCAAAAACTAATTTTGGTCCACCAAAAATTGCAATAAATAACGATATTAGGATTTCAATTTTTTTGTTCAATCCAGATTGCAGCATTTCTGGGAAATTATCCAGATGAAAAACAGTAAAAGGAAATTTTAAAATCAATTACAAAGCATCTGTCAACTGGGTGAGGTTTTGTTTTTTATAGTACTTTGATAAGAATTAGAGATGAATTTCTCTCATAACTGAAGATCAAATTCTCCAAAGACAGNTGAAACACTAAAATTTTTAATTTGAAAACTGGTTGGTATATAATATAATTTTAAGATCTTAATTAGATCAAACTATTTAATTATATAAGAAACTGCAATCTAAAAATTACTATTTTTGTAATTTTGGCCTTCCCTTCCACCATTACACTGCCAGGATCAAAACCATTACTGCCACCACAACGTTGGCACCACTGCCATCAACAACCATACAACCATCTTCGCCACCACTATCCTCACACCCCCACTACCCCCCACCATTGCTAGAATCTCTGTGACCCTCCAACCATCACCGTCTCACCATTGTCTCTACCACCCCCACCAAAAACTAATTTTGGTCCACCAAAAATTGCAATAAATAACGATATTAGGATTTCAATTTTTTTGTTCAATCCAGATTGCAGCATTTCTGGGAAATTATCCAGATGAAAAACAGTAAAAGGAAATTTTAAAATCAATTACAAAGCATCTGTCAAGTGGGTGAGGTTTTGTTTTTTATAGTCCTTTGATAAGAATTAGAGATGAATTTCTCTCATAACTGAAGATCAAATTCTCCAAAGACATACTGTTTTGCAAACATAGGTCAACTTTCTATGTAATTTTTCATCTATTTCTATGNATACTGTTTTGCAAACATAGGTCAACTTTCTATGTAATTTTTCATCTATTTCTATGTGAATTTCGTGTAATAAATTCAATTCTATGAAAGATTACAGTAAATTACATACTATCATTTCCAGTTAGAATCAAATAAGTGAACTTATTCAAGTTTCAACACAGTCACTTTTTTCAAAGAATTGCAGCAGTACTCTTCAATTGCTGATCTGGTGTACGGCCATCATGATTGAACACAAACAGGAGGACCATCTCTCAACAAAAGTCAGTGTCATATATCTCCCCGTCTCTAATTTTTTGTGTGTGTGAGAGAGAGACAGATAGAGATCGAGAGAGTTAGTCGCATTTAATTAAGGTATGTTCATTGAAGTCCAGATAAGTAAGCATCAATCATTCCATATTATTTTGGTATTTAGCCAACACTGACCCATGCTTATCTTCTTATCAACAAAAACCAACCCTCTCTCCTAAAAGTCTTAAGGCTAGTCTTCTTGCTGATGCATGAAATATAGTTTCAAAGGAGGGAGATTCGAGGTCTTAGAGAGAGACAAGCAGAAACAGGTTTTCTTCTTCCCAAAGATCTGAGTCCATTTGATAATTTACGCATATAATAGTATTTTGGGTTGAGTACTTTTTGAATTTTGATAGTTTTCTCCTTGTTATTTCTATGCAAGTGCGGTTCTGGACCTCTTTGTTCTCTCATCTTCAATATAAAAATTCTTAGAAAAATATTATACTAGAAAACCGAGGTCAATGAGTGGTGCCTCTCTCTAAACAGCTTTGAATTCTTGAGGCCCATCCTTTTTGTTTTTCTTCATTTTTTATTTTAATATTACTTTCTGCTATAATGTATTATAAATCCCAGCCAACTTGAAGCAAGTAGGGTACATAAACAACCACAATAGTTTAGAAAACTAGAGGCCAATAGTGCCCTAATCAGCGACTTTCATGAGTTGATTAGAAGGGTTTACTATTTTTATATGTAGCAAGACCAAAGTTTGGGTAAACCCAGGGTATTAGATGTACGAGAATTTCACACTTTTTATCCTAATATATTATGAATGAGATTACCACCCAAACAGTGGTATTTGAGCCAATTGCCGACTATACTGAGTGAATTTTCGAAGAAATAATGTAATGTATCACTATTAATGATGACTTATAAGAAAAATGATAGATGACATTTAAGTGATGAATTTTTAAGTGGGTAAGTTTGAAACATGTATACTGAACATTGAATTATTGAACTCATTTTTTCCCAACATGGACAACATGCATGAACTGGTTTTGTAGTTCAATAAGATATAAGACCTAATCCGTACATTCCGAGTTCAAATCCCACTACTCGCATATAACTTAGGATTAATCGATTAGCATAGTTTGTGAGAAGCTACAGTATTACAATCACCAACCCAAAAAATACATGATTGTGGCGATTTTGCATTAAAAGACCAAAAGGAGGGTAGCTCAATAATCGAACGTTTGGATGATACTGGGGACACACCTGCAGGATAGAGGCTTGGTTCTTGGTTTTACCTGTAGCATTGCTACGACTAATAAAATAATGAAAGCAAAAAGGCTGTGACTTGAACATGAAGGTTTGAGAGAAAATTTGGGTAGTACTTTGTCCAATTGTTGTAGACTTGTTATAAAATAAAAGAAAGGATGAGTGACCTAATCCAAATGTGTCTGTATGTGTGAGAGGGAGGGAGAGAGAGAGAGAGAGAGAGGCACAAACCCTAGAAGAGACGTAAGACTATTTTGGTCCTCATGAGCATCACATCACCCACTTTTCCAACCTATAAAGCTTGGTCTTCTCTCCAACAATTTCCAAAACAATCAGAGACAGCTTCTATCTGTTCCATTTTGGTTGGAGAAAAAAAGAGAGATAGAGATAAAGGAGAGAAAGAAAGCAAGCAAAGAGACGATGGGTAGAGCTCCATGCTGTGACAAAGCCAACGTGAAGAAGGGTCCATGGTCCCCTGAGGAAGATGCAAAACTTAAGGCTTATATTGAGAAGTATGGCACTGGAAACAACTGGATTGCTCTTCCCCAGAAAATTGGTAAATACATCCTCTCATTCTTGTTTGTTTTTTAAACAATGAATCGCTTCAATAAACTTTGAATTCACTAATCACAAGTAAACAACACACAAAGATTAATCTTGTGTTTCACTCGGTTTTAGATAGCCCGAACTAAGGGTATGTGGGTTTGAATCGCCCTTGTTTGACTATTTAAGCAACCCATGCGCGTTATCTCATTCTATGTTTATGAGTGATTGTGGTCATAATTTTGTGCTTGGGGGTGGTTATACTTCCAAATTGATTACTTTGATTAATTGGTTGGAATATTCACAGGGCTGAAGAGGTGTGGAAAGAGTTGTAGACTAAGATGGCTGAATTATCTGAGACCCAATATTAGGCATGGTGGATTCACTGAAGAAGAAGACAATATCATCTGCAGCCTCTATATAAGTATTGGCAGCAGGTTCCTCTCTCTCTCTCTCTCTCATAAACGTCAACCAAACTTGCTTGTCCTTTTTCCTTGTCCCTGTGGCTTTCTTTCCCTTTCCATTGTTTCTCAACGTGTTTGGTAGAGACTGATTTGGTACATATTTTTATGTAATATTAGGTGGTCCATAATTGCTGCTCAATTGCCTGGAAGAACAGATAATGACATCAAGAACTACTGGAACACCAGACTGAAGAAGAAGCTGCTCGGAAGGCGTAAACAGTCTCACACCAATCGCTTATCGGCTGCAAATCATGACCCAAAAGATGCAAATTCCATTGAAGAATCACAGGCCTTAAGCAACTCAGCCATTGAGAGACTCCAACTTCATATGCAGCTTCAAAGCCTTCGAAATCCTCTCTCTTTCTACAACAATTCTTCATTGTGGCCCAAATTGCATCCCCTCCAAGAAAAGATGATACAGAACCTTCAATGTTTGACTGAGAGTTCTAACCCTTTGATGCAAAATGTCACACTTGGTGCTCAACCAGTACAAGATCCAAAGATTGGATCCTTTGAAAATTCCACGGTTTCTATCAGAAATCAAGCAGGGTTTTCCTCAATAAGCAGTTTGAACGCAGATGAATTGGAGAATTCTATGACCTGTATTGCCTCTGCAGACAACCCAGTTACCTTCAACATTGGAAGCAACATAAGAAACTCAACTATCGTTCCGAGGTCGAATTTTATTGAACAATCAAGTCCTGTAATTCACCCAGTTTCAAAATTCAATCAAGCAGAACTTGATGACTTTATCAACAACAAAGCAGTGGGTTTTCAATCAACAGAGGGTCAGATGGGTGAATTTGATTGTTTCAAAGAGATGGATGGCTCAAAGGACAACCTGATCTGGTGGTTTAATGACTTCGACATAAATTCAACACCTTCAAACTCTTGGGATTCTACTTCTGTTCTTTATCAGTGTGAAGGAATGTATCAGAATTATGGCTTAGGATATAACATGCAGTGACAAACGATATAAGTGGTAGTAGCCGCTTTGATGATCATAAGAAGGTCACTATGTAGAACTTCGCAACTGGTTTTGTAAATTGTGTGAATAATGTCAAGTCCTCGTTATCTTGCCAAGTATATANGATCATAAGAAGGTCACTATGTAGAACTTCGCAACTGGTTTTGTAAATTGTGTGAATAATGTCAAGTCCTCGTTATCTTGCCAAGTATATACTTGCCTGACTGTCATATCATATCTTCATATTTTTCACGTGGACTTTAAGTTACAAATCCAAATGCTATTTAAATCCTACTGCTGTTTAAATTGCCATTCAACACTACTGTATCAAATGAGGTACGGCATAAAAAATTACAAGTAAATAAGTGTTGTAGTTAAGAAGCACGAGAATTTGTAAAGACTTTTTGAGAAACTACACTTTCCCGAAAATTTGGGGTGAACAAGGAATGAGTGATTGGTTGACNTTAAGAAGCACGAGAATTTGTAAAGACTTTTTGAGAAACTACACTTTCCCGAAAATTTGGGGTGAACAAGGAATGAGTGATTGGTTGACTATAAATGTAGCAGCTCCAGTATCAAAGAAGACAATTAAGCAGGGATGTAAGATATTATGCAAGCAGTGATGTAAGCTTAACGTACTAGCAATGTTATTGAGATCTAATTTATTGACTTAATTCACTATGATTTTTGAATTAATTGTAAATTTTATCAAACATTGAAACTTAGTATTGATTCAATGAAACAACATCATTCTATCAATAAATTAATTCAGATTTTTAGGTCCAAATAAGATTACTCTTTTAACTTTAAGGTGGATGGAATACATTTTGGAGTCCGGCCTCCCCTCTCTTGTGTATCTAAAGTGGTTTGAGAGCCATAATGATCTATTATGTTTTCTACTTAATTCCTTTGTCTGTTTAATCATACAAATGTTGGTTGGGGAGGTTTCTTGCATCTTTATTGAGTACCAGTTATCACTAATCTTTAGCAAGCTCTGTTCATCGTCTTCTACGTATGCTCTATGGTTGCCACTTGATTGGATCTTCCACCTCAGAAATAGAAGATACTGATCTGAACCCTACGATTTGTGATTACTGTTCCGGTACTGATCAATTAATATTCTCTGGTTTGGATTAAAATAGAGGGTTCCTTTAGACTTTCTAGCCTGGATGAGGATTGTTGTTGTCTCGGATGTGCTGTTTTCTGAATTTATTATCTTTTTAGTTGATTATTGTTTTACAAAAGAAGCATTCTTTCGCCCCGACCATTATGAGTATGATTAAACAAAGTCTCTTTTCTTTCTTATGGCTTTAAGTACATTGTTCTCTCGCTCTAATTCCTCAAATGTGGAAAATATGTATATAATTAGATTATATTAAATTATATAATATCTAACTTATGCACTAATCTAAACAGAATATATAGAAATCAAAATCAGTGCAATTACATTGACGCATAACAACACGAATAATAAAATTCAAAAAATTAAAAATTTAATAATAAAAATAATAATTCGAGCCCTGTGTAATCACAATTTTCTTAAGACAGATTTGCTAACTCTCGTGCTTAAGATTGATAAGTAATTGTCTCTTAAGATAGAACGAATTTCGTTTTTGAAGATGCATCATTTCAATTTCCAAAACTCCAACGAACACAATTTTGTGTTTATATTTGAACCGACCTTGAAATAATAATGCAACTACATGTAGAGAGAGAGAGAGATAGAGAGAAGAATGACTAAATACTAAATTCAATATTTTAGAGAATTGAGAGAATAATTATTGAATTGTTCAATGGTATGTTTGGAGAGTATAAAGAATCGCCTATTTATAGACTCATTAGTGACTTTTCATAAATTATGTAACCATATGTAATAATACCTTTTAGTCCAAAGGGTATCATGGTGACTTTATGGTACAATCATTTGAAATTGTGTTTTTTGGTTCAAGAGATATTAATGGTAATTTTATGAAAGTTGTGACCATTTGTAACGGTGTTTTTTTAACCAAAAGGTGTTAATGATGGATTTAGGAAATGATGTAACTATTTGGATTAGTGTTTTCAACTAAAAGTTACTAATTTTGAATTAATAACCTTTCATATCATATTCACTTCACACCTTTTCAATTGCTCACAAGAGTCACAAACACTTTTACAACTTTTTCAATTGCTCCCAAAAGTTATAAAGATTTTAACAATTTTTTATTCAATACTTAATGATTTTTTAAATAAATATACCATTATTTGCAACATATTCTTCCTTTTCTAAAATTGACTATTTTTATGAAATTTTTTTATCTTCATGAAGACTCTAAAATTCCTCTTACCCACATTTCTTCTGTAAATCCTTATTTAGCTTTCACCAAACCTCCCAACTCTATCAAAACTTATGCTCATAAGTTGATTGGCACTTCTAGACCAACCAAAGTTAGGGAATATATTCAAGCTTCTCGTTCTGATTAGTACACTATTCCCTTCTCTTTTCTTGAGTAGTTTATTACTTTTTCACTTCCCGCTCATCTTCCATCTCAATGGCTGCAGGAAGGTTTTACTCATCTTCATTGGGGAACTATTAGGCTTATCTTGACTTTTCATGGCAAAAAAGGGCTTCTTGTTGTTTCCCGTATAACTCTTCTTGATTCATGTTTCTTAGAGTATCAACATACATGTATTGGCACTATGCAAACTGCGTTGAATGCAGGAATTGTGATAGTCACTTTATTCCCCACCTTTAACATGCATATCTGTGAAGGATAATGGTCAACATTCAAAAGTTCAAATATCTGAACCATCAATCTGATCATATCATGTTGGATTGATAAGGCTCAATCCAATTTACTTTTATCTTCTTGTAACAAACTCTTCTTTAAATTGTAACTCTGCATAGCAATACAGAACGAAGAATTTCACAGCAAAGCCTTTGCTTCTATATGGTATTAGAGCAAAAGATCTGAAATTGAAAAATGAGTACATCTTTAGTAACTTCAAACCAAATTTCGTCACCACCTAGAACTTTCTTTCCCTCTTCATCTATGCACACACATACCTTCACAACAAAACTTAGTGCAGATAATTATCACCTCTGGTATTCACAAATTATTTTGCAACTAGTTTTGTACTTGTCAATGGATCCATCGAATTTTGTCTTCTTTTTAAAGATTCATTTACAACCTAAAGGTTTGTTATCTGGTGGAAGATCCACCAACTCTTATGTATAATTTCTCATAATAGATTCGATTTAATAATCAATAGCTTCCTTACAATAAGCAGCTTCGTGGGAGGACATAGCTTATTATTTTCTAATAAATAAGCTAGAAAATTAAGACCAAATGACTTCGACGTTTTTGTCCTCTTGTTACGTCTAGATTCATCTTCCATGAACTCCTTGTTTTGACCATTATTAGTTGTAGCTTCGATTGGTCTCTTTAATAAGCTTAATTCATGTGACACATTAAATGAAAAATTATTTTCAAAGAATGACGCATTCCTTGATTCTATAATTGTATTAATATGCACATCAAGAATCTTAGATTTGTGAATAAGAAATTAATATGGACTACTGTTATGGGCATAATCAATGAATACACAATCAATGATTTTTAGTCCTATCTTAACCTTTTTAGGTTTAGGAACCGCCATTTTTGCTAGACACCCCCACACTTTTAAGAATTTATTGGAAAATTTTCAACCTTTCCATAATTCCTATGGTGTCTGATTAGTTTTCTTATGAGGCACCTTAAGAATATAATTAGCAGATAGTATAGCTTCCCCCCACAAGTTTTGGGGTGCTCCAGACTTTGACAACATAACATTCATCATTTTTTTCAATGTTCGATTTTTGAGTTTAGCTATGCCATTTGATTGAGGTGAATAGGGAGCAGTCGTGCGGTGAATGATTCCATGTGTTGCACAAAACTCCTCGAAAGGAGATTCATAGTTACCACACCTATCACTTCTTAGTGCCTTTATCTTTTTACTAAGTTGATTCTCAACTTTATTCTTATAATGCTTTAAACATATTGATAGCCTCATCTTTACTTCTAATTAAGTAAACATAATAGTATCTAGTGCAATCATCAATAAAAGTAATAAAATATTTTTTATCACCTCTTGTTTGCACAAACTTTAAGTCACAAACATTAATGTGAATTCATTCAAGAGGTTTAGTACTTCTTTCAATTGACTTAAAAGATGTTCTTGTCAACTTTGATTCTACACAAGTCTCACATTTATGATTTGGATCAATAGACATCTTAGGCAAATCATTCAAATTAGCTAATCTTCTAATTGCATCATAATTAACATGTTTTAATCTAGCATGCCGCATATTAGAAGACTCAAGCAAGTAAGAAGAATTCATCTTATTCTTATTATTAGAAGATGTGGGTACAACATTCATTATATTGAGGTTAAAACACCTATTAGTCATATATCCCTTCCGTACAAATATCTCATTCTTAGTGAGTACAAATTTGTCAAATTCAAATACTAACTTAAAGACATTATTACTAAGTAATGAACTGGACACTAGATTCTTGCGAATATCTGGGACATGAAGCACTTCGTTCAAGGTGAGTTCCTTACCGGATTTCATCCTGAGTATCACCTTGCCATTTTCTTCAACCTTGGAGGTAGAGGAATTCCCCATATAGAGTTGTTCATCATTTTTTAGCTTTTTATAAGTAGTGAACATCCATTTGTTAGAGCAGATGTGTCAAGTAGCACCGGTGTCAACCCACCACTCTTTGGGATTACCCACTAAATTGCATTCTGAAACAACTGCAGAGAGATTCATGTCATTAACTTCCATAGAAAGCTTTTCTGTTTCAGTCATGTTTGCTTGAGCATTAGGCTTCTTGAGATTCTTTGGCCTACCATAATCTTTTGAGATATGCCCCGGTTTGCCATAGTTGTAGCACTTGCCCTTGAATTTCGTTGATCCTTGATTTGGACCTTTGGCATTATGCTTCCTTCTCTTGTTAGTCTTAGTTTCACTTTCA